AGAGTTTTGTGTGACATTATATTGTGTTCATTATAACATAAATATTTTGTGACTGACAGGACTACATGATGATTTGTGTTCTTATATAGAAATCTTTTAATAACTATTTTCATATAGTCTATATCAGACACCAAGTAATCATTTTTGCACAAGATTCAAAATAATTTATTTCATGTGTTAACACTAAACAGATATATTTTATGTTTTACTTTTGCACAATGTGAATTTTATATAGTGAAGGTTAGCATCTATTATACAAAGGCAGAAGCCAAAAACATACATATCTATGACCACAACGACTATAGATGATGGAAAGTAGAAATAATTCCCTCCCAGCAATTTTGTAGGTAAAGCACTATAGTAATATCATTAACATATTAAATTAATTGGTAATTGTGAGTAAATATCAATCCTTTTAACAGCTCTGAAACCTCTGATGGATATAGAAAACAAAGGAGACATTACAAACTTAACCAAACTGTCTGGGCAGTTAAGCTTTTCTTTTCATTTTTTTTTTTTTTTGAATGTTTGTTTATTTTTGAGAGAGAGAAAGACAGAGTGTGAGTGGGGGAGGGGCAGAGAGAGAGGGAGACACAGAATCCTAAGCAGGCTCCAGGCTCCGAGCTGTCAGCACAGAGCCCGATGCAGGGCTCGAACTCACAAACTGTGAGATCATGACCTGAGCCGAAGTCGGACACGCAACCAACTGAGCCACCCAGGCACCCCCAGTTAAACTTTTCTTAAGATGATCTTAGAGGATAGCATCAGTCCCAGAATGGAAAGACCCTTTCCCTGAGGAGAAGCACAGGTCCCATCACACCAGGTCCCTGAAGTTTGGAGTTTTAAAAGGCAGCAGGCCCAGCTAGTGTAGAGCTCAAGGTGTACTGCATTGCTCCAGGCAGGCAAGTGACCCAGATACAGTGGGAATTCAGCGATCTAAAAAATGCCTGGGATGCCACAGAGGAAACAATTCACTCCTCTGAAACTGCAAGCAGTTTCACTGCTTAATAATTCACTCCCTGAGAGCAGCAAGCATGGACTCCCCTCACTAGGAACCAAGGAGCAGGCTGGTGCCAGTTCCCTCCCCCACCCCTCAGCAAAAACCAACTTCAGTAAACAGCACAGCACCAATACTGGCAACTCAACCTGCTTACACCAAGTCCCAAGTCACTGTGATCCACCAGGACTGCTTTTCTAGGCCCAGTCTGCCTTAGGACGAGCACAGCAGGCCCCTCCACAAGAAAACCGGCACAAACCACCACATACGCCACATCTACTGACCACAAAGTTGTGCAAAGTTTCAGCTTTAGTGGAAATACTGTGAGGTCTCTTTTAGCAAGCAGATCAGAGCACACCTACTTAAAACTCACCACACTCTGGCCAAGGTCCAAATACTTCCCACTGCACGCAAGGAGAAACTCTGCAGAGAACTGACCTGAGGGATAGAGCAGCCATAACACAACAGCAGAGTGCACGAAGCATACACCAGAGACACTTCCTGAAGGATCAGGACTGGGCAATATATGACATCTTCTTCATAAAACCATTCCTCTCAGGACCAGGAAACATAAAAAGGCTTTTCTAACTCATAGAAGAAGACATGTGCCTGAAGAAAATGCCAAGACTGACAAATTCCTCCAAAAAGAAAGAAAAACAAAAGGTCATGGGCATGGATGAAATTGAAACAGATATAAGTAATATATCACATCCAGAATTTACAACAACAAGGATAAGGGTACTGGCTGTCCTTGAGAAAAGCATACAAGACACCAGGGAATCCCTTACCACAGAGATAAAAAAAGCTAAAGACTAATTAGGCCAAAATGAAAAATGCAATAACTGAGATTCAAAACCAGCTGAACGTGATGACCACAAGGACGGAAGAAGTAGAGAAATGAATAAGTGATATAGAAGATAGAATTATGGAAAATAATGAGCTTCACAAAAGGGGGAAACAAAAATTTGGATAACTAAAGTAGGCTTAGGGAGCTCAGTGATACCATCAAGGGTAACAACATTCATATTATAGCAGTCCCAGAAGAATAAGAGAGGGAAAAGGGGGCAGAACATTTACTAGAGGAAATTATAGCTGAAACCTTCCCTCATCTGGGGAGGGTAACAAACATCCAAATCCAGAAGGCATGGAGAACTCCCATCAAAATCAACAAAATCAGGCCAACACCAAGACATACTGTAAATTTGCAAAATATAGAGATAAAGAAAAAGTCTTAAAAACAGTAAGACAGAAGTCCCTATCTTATAAGGGAAGACCCATAAGGTTAGCAGCAGACCTCTCCACAGAAACATGGCAGGCTGGAAGGGAGTGGCGTGATATATTCAAAGTGCTGAATGGGAAAAAAAAAATCTACAGCCAAGAATACTCTATCCAGCAAGACCATTATTCAGAATAGAAGGAGAGATAAAGAGTTTCCCAGATAAAAAATAAAAAATAAAAAATAACACTAAAGGAGTTCATGACCAACTACACCAGTTCTGCAAAAAATATTAAAGGGGACCCTGAGAGGAAAAAGAAAGACCAAAAGCAACCAGGACTATAAAGGAACAAAGAAAACCTCCAGAAACAATGACAAAACAAATAACAAAATGGCACTAAATTCGTATCTATCAATAATCCCTCTGAATGTGGGAGCCCTGGGTGGCTCAGCTGGTTAAGTGTCTGACTTCCTATGAGGTCTTGATCTCAACAGTTTCTGAGTTCGAGCCCCACATTGGGCTCTCTGCTGTGCACAGTCCACTTCGGCTTCAGATCCTCTACCCACCTCTCTACCTCTCCCCTGCTCTCTTTCTCTCTCAAAAAAAAAAAAAAAAAAAAAAAAAAAAAAAAAAAAGAACAATCACTCTGAATGCAAATGGACTAACTGCTCCAATCAAAAGACTTAGGGTGTCAGAGTAGATTAAAAAACAAGACCCATCTATATGCTGCCTACAAGAGATTCATTTTAGATCTAAGGACACCTGCAGATTGAAAGGGAGGGGACAGAGAAACGTTTCTCATGCAAACAGATGTAAAAAGGAAACCAGGGTAGTCATATGTATATCACATAAACTAGATTATAAACCAAAGACTAACAAGAGATGACGCAGGGCACTATAATAAAGGGGTCTACCTAACAAGAAGATCTAACGATTTTAAATATTTATGCTCCCAAATTGGAACACCCGAATATATAAACCAATTCATAACAAACATAAAGGAACTAATTGATAATAATACAATAATAGTAGAGGACTTTAACACCCCAATTACATCAATGGGCAGATCATCTAGATAGAAAATCAACAGGGAAAGAATGGCTTTGAACGACACACCAGACCAGATGGACTGAACACATATATTCAGAACATTTCATTCTAAAGCAGCAGAATATACATTCTCTTCAAGTGCACATGGGACATTGTCCAGAATAGATCACATACTGGATTGCAAATCAGGTCTCAATTAGTACAAAAAGATTGAGATAATACCATGCATATTTTCAGACCACAATGCTGTGAAACTTGAAGTCAACCACAAGAAAGAAATTGGAAAGACCACAAATACATGGAGGTTAAAGAACATTCTACTAAAGAATAAAGGGGTCGGGGTGCCTGGCTGGCTCAGTCACTTAAATATCTGACTCTTTTGAGAAACAGAGACAGAGTGTGAGCAGGGAAGGGGCAGAGAGAGAGAGAAAGACACAGAATCTGAAGAGGCTCCAGGGTGAGCTGTCAGCACAGAGCCCGACGCAGGGCTCAAACTCATAAGCCGTGAGATCACGACCTGAGCTGAACTCGGATGCTTAACCGGCTGAGCCACCCAGGAGCCCTATTTCTGACTCTTAATATTGGCTCAGGTCATGATTTCATAGTTCATTAGATCAAGCCTCCATGCTGACAGAGCAGAGCTTCATTGGGATTCTCTCTCCCTCTTTCTCTGCTTCTCTCTCTCCCTCAAAATTAATAAATAATCTTTAAAAGAATGAATGGGCCAGCCAAGAAATTAGAGAAGAAATGTTAAAAATAAATGGAAACAAATGAAAATGAAAACACGACAGTCCAAAACCTTTGAGATGCAGCAAAAGTGGTCCTAAGAGGGAAGTATATGGCAATACAGGTCTTCCTCAAGAAGGAGAAAAATCTCAAACAAGCAACCTAACCTTACACCTATGAGAGATAGAAAATAAACAACCAATGAAGCCTGAAGCCAGCAGCTGAAGGGAAATAATAAATATTAAACCAGAAAAAAATGATATAGAAAAGAAATAGAACAGATCAATGAAACCAAGAGCTGCTTCTTTGAAAAATTAATAAAACTGATAAACCTTTAGCCAGATTCATCCAAAAAAAGGACTGAAGTAAAGAAAGTCACAAATGAAAGACCAGAAATCACTACCAACAGAAATAGAAACAATTTTAAGAGAATATTATGAAAACTACATGCCAACAAAATGAACAACTTGAAAAAAATGGATAAATTCCTAAAAACGTATAAATTACCAAAAGTTCAACAAAAAGAAATAGAAAACTTGACCAGACTGATAACCAGCAAAGAAATTGAATCAGTATTCCATTATCTCTCAACTAACAAAAGTCCAGAGCCAAATGGCTTCACAGATGACTTCTACAAAACATTTAAAGATCAGGGGCGCCTGGGTGGCGCAGTCGGTTAAGCGTCCGACTTCAGCCAGGTCACGATCTTGCCGTCCGTGAGTTCGAGCCCCGCGTCAGACTCTGGGCTGATGGCTCAGAGCCTGGAGCCTGTTTCCGATTCTGTGTCTCCCTCTCTCTCTGCCCCTCCCCCGTTCATGCTCTGTCTCTCTCTGTCCCAAAAATAAATAAACATTGAAAAAAAAAATTTAAAAAAAATAAAAAAAATAAAGATGAGTAAATACCTATTTTTCTAAAAAATTCCAAAAACTAGACATGGAAACAAAACTTCTAAATTTACTCTGTGAGGATTTTTCAGCCATATATTTGGCTTAAAGAAAATAAAAATCTGTATGAGAAACCATACAATGACTACAGAGTTTGTTCTCTTGGGCATCTCAGATGACCCAAAGCTTCAGGTTAACATCTTTATCTTTTTGTTTATGGCTTATGTATTAAATGTCACCAGAAACCTAACCACCATTAACAGAATGTCACCTTGACAAAATGTCATCTCAAGATTACTATGTATTACTTCTTGAGGAATTTCTGCTTCTTAGAAATTACATTCACCAGTGTGTCTATCCCCAGATTTGGGGGGACGATCATTACTAAAGTCAAGACATTGCCTATAACAATTGTTTAGCTCAGCTATTTTACTTCACCTTCATGGGTATGTCAGAGATTTTTCTTCTCAGGGCCACGTCTTTTGATCACTACATTGCCATCTGCAGGCCTCTTCATTTCACCACCATGAACAAGAAAATCTGCAAAAATTGGGTCTTTGGGTCATGACTGGGAGAATTCCTTACCATTTTCCCACCACTCATGCTCATCCTCCAGCTAGGTTTCTGTGCTGCCAATGTAATTGATCATTTCTCCTGTGACTGTTTCCCCATTTTACAACTCTCGTGCTCAGATACATGGCTTTTAGAGATGATTGGCTTTTACTTTGCTTTTGTTACTCTGCTCTTCACGTTGGCATTCGTGATTCTTTCCTACATGTGCATTCTTAGCACCATTCTGAGAATCCCGTCTGCTACTCAGAGGAAAAAGGCTTTCTCCACATGTTCCTCTCACTTGACTGTCATTTCCATCTCTTATGGGAGCTGTATATTCATGTATGTCAAGCTTTCAGCAAAAGAAAGAGCATCACTGACCAAAGGGGTAGCTATTCTCAACACCTCAATTGCCCCCATGTTGAACCCTTTTATTTATACCCTGAGGAACCAGCAAGTAAAACAAGCTTTCAAAACTTTGCTTCATAAAGTAGTGTTTTCTAGAAACAAATGAAAGTATGTATTAACAAGAAAGGATGTTATTGGGAAGATCCACTAAAGGAAAAACAAAATTTTGACTTCTACAATATGCTCCCATATCCATCTCACAGATACTTGCAAAGCTGTGCTCATTTGCTTAAGCTTTCTTGTACACTGAAAGTAACTATGGTGTGTCTTTCAAACTGTCTGTGGGTTCCATTTTCTCACTGATTTACAATTCTAAATAGAAATCCAGTGGCTATAAAATATAAATCATTTTCCTGATTGTTCTGAATGATATAATTTTGTATATCGTAATGGCTAAAGGAGTAAACACTGTTTTCATCAACTTACTCTTTTTTGTTAACAATATCACAGTGTCTTTTGTAAAGTTTAAAAATATGAAATTACCTGTAACAACCATATTTTTTGCACACTATCTTCAGTAGCTGTCCAGTTCTTCCAACTCATTTAGTTGACTTGAGTTTACTACGTATGATTTGAACATCATATGTCTTCTGTTTTCCAGTTATCCTTAAGGCATGCATTATGTATCTTTTTTAACATATTTTCCTTGTTTATCTGTGTTATTTTTAAAAATATTTAACACATGAATATTTAGGCAATTATCACTAAACTTAAGCCACCAGGAAGTTTGATAAAATTTAAGAAAATTTCTTCCATAGAGAACATTTATATTGTGCCGTATGCTGAACTATGTATGTCCTCAATCATATTTAATCTTCACAGCTAGATAGTAAATTAGAGTAATTATCTCTTTTTTTACAAGTGAGTAAATAGATGCTCAGAAAAGTTATATAAGTTGCCCGCGATCTTCTGCTATAACAGCCAATATCATAACTTGATTTGAAAAACAAAACAGACAAAAATTTGTTTGCTCTTATACACACACACACACATATATATACATATACGTATACATATATATATATGTAGAGACATCCATATTTTGCATAGCTTTTACTAAGGACCTACACAATCTTACTGGTGTTTTTCACTCACATTTTCTCATTTGGACATGATCATATTATTATAGTCTAGTCCATGTCGGTACTAACTCCTAATATTATACTTGGCATATAAATTAGAACATTAATCAAAATAAGAAATTCTTCAACTGCTGTTGCTAGTGTGAAATAGAATGATCAAGAAAAAATCTAAAGTATTAGCAGTATTACGATACCCAGACTTCTTATTAGAAGTTAGACTAAAAATAATGGAGTTAATGAATAGACTTAGTACAATGTAGTAGATTACCAGTTTAAAAAATGGCATTGAGTAGAGATGCATTCAGTAGAGATCTGCATTAGGAATTGAGATATGTGGTTGCTAATCTCTAAAAAACAATGTCAAGGGAAAAAATATTGGGGTTATAATTTACAACTGGAAATATCAAAAAGTATAAAAACAAAATAGTATATTTTGTTTTATTGTATCAATTAATTCATCCTCAGTTAAAAACAGGAAGTTACTATCTACGTGTGTTGCCAATTGGATATAGTCCATGTGGTATTGTGTTTAAGAAAACAGACTTTAATTTTAGGAAGTCTAAGATCATATTGGACACTTGCTAGCTGTGTGAATTGGTGGAAGGTATACAATCTGTATCAGCCTCAGTTCTTCATGTGGGAATGTAGAATCAGAGAATAAAAGTTTCATAGCTGTGTTTAAAGGACTAAATGAAATAAATAATAAAAGTCCTTAAGTATCACTGAAATAAATAACGCCTTTGTGAAATCACAACTACCATGAATATCCTTCTCAAAGGATATTTCCAACTAAAAAAATAAAATAAAATAAGAGGCTATTCATGTATGTTAGTAAGTGTTACATAAAATATAGAGCATGTTAGTTATATTATTTCAATTAATTCTCAAAAACACTGTTGAGGGGTGCCTGGGTGGCTCAGTTGGATGAGCGTCCCACTTCGGCTCAGATCATGATCTCACAGTTCCTGAGTTAAAGTGTCATGTCAGGCTCTGTGCTGACAGCTCAGAGCCTGGAGCCTGCTTCAGATTCTGTGTCTCCCTCTCTCTCTGCCCCTCCCCCCTTCACACTCTGTCTCTCACTCTCTCAAAAATAAATAAAAATTAAAAATTAAAACACTTGAAATTTCAACGCCACGTCAAACAAAGAAAACTGAAGCCTAAAACAATCAAGTAACATCCAAAGTCACAAATTCTATTAAGTGGTTCATTTGCCTTTTCAGTCCATGTCTTCCTAATGGCAAAAGCCATACATGTTCTATGATAATAAACTCACCCTATAATGTCCTAAGCACAAGTTAGTAGTAAGTTTAAATGCCATAACTTGATTAACAATTTATTTACTTTTCCTTCCTTGTTCATATTTTAGATAGCTAGTTAACAAACCAAAAGCATGAGCCCTGGGTGTCATATGTAAGACATGCATCACTGGGTTCTACGCCTGAAACCATGACTACACTGTATGTTAACTAACTTGAAAATAAAAAAAAAAGAAAGAAAGAAAAGAAAAACAAACAAATAAATAAATAAATAAACCAAAAACATGAGGTTATATATTGATATTCAGCATAAACTCCTACAGATATGATTATTACTATTTCTGAAAACATTATTAAATGTGATTTGGTGATCTCTCTTTCCCTTGATCTCTTACTATACACAACTATGAATTCTAAAAACTGAATCTGCTCATCTTTAATGAAATGAATAAATGTAAAATATTCTGATTTCTCCAGGGAAATGGTCACTTAAAATAATTATGAAGAGAGTAAAACACATTTCTTATAATTCTTCCAACCACTCAGTGAAGTCCACTGTAGAGATTTTGTTTAATTCAGGCAGAGAGAATGTTTCACATGAACTCTAATTTGTCAAGAATGAATGCGCAGTACCAGAAGTGAATTTCAGTGTAACTATGAAGCTGAACTAGATGTTGCCCATAATTAACTGAATTAATTTCTTTTCCTTTTCTCTAATATATTAAGTGGAACATGAACAACTACTTTATTAAACAATTTAATAAAGGAAAAAGACACAGGGTTACATGATCAGTAAAGCAAATTGCTTGGGAGACACTCTCTGAACATGTCATTTAATGAGCTTTAACGAAAGAAGAGATAAATGAGTAAATACATAAGATGAAAAAAAACACTTTCAATATTAATGCATTACTAAGGGAGACTTCCACCCAACACAACAGAAAGAATTATTTTAAAATTTTTTATTTCATTTAAAACACCTGAGATGAAGTGGAACCACTCAAAAGGTCCTCTCTCAGACTGTCGAAGGGACATTATTTGGACTTTGATTCTCATGTATTTTTTTTTTAAACAGAGTCATTTTCTTACCCTGAGCATCAGTGAATTTGCCATTAACCAGTTTATCAGAGGGCCGTTGCGAATATTTACTTGACGGTCAAGATTTAGGGAGGGCAGGATATTGAAATGTTTTAAGAACTAAAGCCATGAAGATGCTTTCTAGCCTTATTTACCAATGTTAAATGTTATCTTTAAAATTCAATTTTAAATATCTCAGTGAATCACAGGAATCCTTAAAAGGCACATCAAACTTAATTGTGATGAAAAGAATGGAAGGAAATGTGTATCTTAACAGAATAAGCCATTACACTTAACTGAAATAAATACAATTAAAATGTATACATTTAATGTATATTTTCATAAAAAGTATGTTATTTTTATTGTATTATTTAATGTACATTTAGTTGGTGAGACAACCACATGAAGTTAAATTATGACAAGAGATTTTATTTTTATTTTGTATTTAAACTTTTTTTTAATGCTTATTGATTTTTGAGACAGAGAGAGAGAGTGTGCAAGTGGCGGGGAGGGGCAGAGAGAGGGAGACAGAGAATCCGATGCAGGCTCTACTCAGACAGCAGAGAGCCCAATGGGGGACTCAAACTCACCAACCATGAGGTCATGATCTGAGCTGAAGTCGGGCACTTAACCAACTAAGCCACCCAGGTACCCTTCCAAGAGATTTTAAATGCTGTAACTGGACCAGACATACAAGTGGGATTTAATCTAACAACAACAACAACAACAACAACAACAATAGCTTAAAATATCTTAAACTGTTCCTAGGTAGGAATAATATTGTGGATGGTAGGGCTGTTATTCTAATACTGCTTTATGTGCAACATGAGGAAAAGAAGCAAATGAAAATTAACATGATATTACGATTTTATCTAATGCTATTCATAGCCAGGGCTCTAATCATGAAATAAAGGAAATATAAATGTTTAACAGATAAAAGGGGGGGGCGAACCTAAAAGTATTGTAGTCTTAAGTTTGAATGATACATTTAAATTACGCTCATAGACATTTTATTTGAAAATAAAATATATGTGTTTGCTGGCCCTCTCCACTGAAAATACCTAGAAAGGATGATCGAACTCATAGTAATTATCACAGCTAGTGCCCAGATTCTTAATGTTCCTAATCAATCCCAGATTTCCTAATCAATGGAAGGAGGACTCTTTAGAGAAATGACTCAGTCCAGTTCTAATACAAAAAAGTGTAGCATGAGCCTGGGAACACTTGTCATCCAAGATGGGAAGGAAGCAATCAAAGAGGAAACTCTGCCCAAAAGGGAAGAGTTTTCCCCCAGCAGATGCACTCCAAAGAGACAGTGATCCCAATTTAAATCTCTTTTGAAATGTTTAAGTCAATCACTAATGTGACCTACAACAAAAGCAAAATTTATAAAGCCATGAATTCATAACAATACCCACAAAAGATACTAGAAAACCAACCCTAACTACAGAATAAAGTAGGCATTCACCTGGAAAATGACAGATTAAGAACAGAACCGTCTTGCAGTACATAATGAATTAATGATCCAGCCATTGATAAACAAAGCCTGCTAAGAAAAAAAAAAAAAAGAAGAAGACGACAATTAGACATGTATGTCCTGCTAAAAGTTTAAATTCCATCTCTAGAGTAGTCTTACAAAAAAACGTTCCCAAACCTAAACCTGGATTGAGCCTCTAAATCTAACTAGCAACTAGAGGCAGTCATGAAGACGAGCTTGCAATCAAGTGAAGCATGACTGCACATTGCCCTCTATAAATAATAGATTTTCTTGTTGCCTATTAGTTGGGCTTTTAGGGAAAAAACAAAATACCATTTCATTACTGCAACAAAACTGATCTATAAGATTACCATATTATATACTTGAAAGTTGCAGAGGGGCGCCTGGGTGGCTCAGTCAGTTAAGTGTCTGACTTCGGCTCAGGTCATGATCTCACAGCTTATGAGTTCAAGCCCTGTGTGGGGCTCTGTGCTGACAGCTCAGAGCCTGGAGCCTGCTTCAGATTCTGTCTCTCTCTCTCTCTGTCCCTCCCCTACTCACGCTCTCTCTCTGTCTCTCAAAAATAAATAAACATTAAAAAAATTTTTAAATAAATAAAAGAGTTGCTAAGAGAGTAAACCTTAAATATTCTCACCACAAAAAAAAAGGTAAATATACGAGTGATAGATGTGTTAAGTACACCTATCCTGGTAATCATTTCATACATACAACTGTATAAAGTCAAAACATTGTACCTTTAAACTTACACAGTGTTACATGTCAATTATATCTCAATAAAACTAAAAAAAAAAAAAAAAA